CTCTGAAACTGAGGTCTGCTCTCCAACCCGAGTATCAACCACATAAGCCAAATAGGCAGCACACCCGTTCTGAATATACTTTCGAGCCATGGCTACCGAACAAAACCCTAACCCAAACTTGGTTCCCTCTCCATAGATAACCAGTTCTCCTCCACTTGGAGTTTTAACTAACACTCACTGACCCTTGCAATCAATCATGGCACCAAACCTGCTCAGCCAATCCATACCCAGTATCACGCATACATCCCTCATGGGGATAAGGATCAGATCAATCGGATAAGGCACCGCAAAGATCTCCAATACACAATCCTGATATACTGCAGATGTAGAAACCCCATGTTCAATTGTGATAGAAAGCCACAATGGACACTCTAACTTCCCCATAGGAATATCAAACTCCCTGTTGAAAGATCGAGATGCAAAGGACCGATTCACACCCGAGTCAAATAACACAAGATGTAACAACCGTCAAAATTCGAGACAGTTCTAGATTTGAATAAACTTAGTTGCACGTATAGGCACGACACATACTAGATTTTGTAACTAGAAGCTAAGTTCTAACCTACTAGAAACTTGGAAACAAGTAGAATCGAAGAATAGTGTACTTAGATTTCACATTGGTATGTGAATTCTACAACTACTTAACTGTAATGACTATCCATATTCGGGTCATTCCTTGAATTGAACCTCTTTAAATGAATCATATAGACACATCACGCACTTGAACTAGAAGTAGAAATTAGGTCAAAGTCTCATAGACACTTTAGTCAAAGTTGAAAACTAGGACTAGTATACTTGATTCGTCAATTTCGCTTCAATCTAGGAATCACTACATAGAATGCCAATAAACCGATAAAAATAAATTACAAATATTACTTTTAACTTGAATAAGAGTTAGGAAACAAAAAATAATTTGAAGTCTCACAGATTCAATTTATTTTGATATCCAAAGATTTACAAAATTCCTCAAAACCCTAAAAGTCCTAAAAATTTATATTTATGAAGTTTTATATTAAAGTCCCATAAAAAATTTTATAAAAACTATAATATCAAATTAATATATTTAAAGTGTGGAAATATAATCAAAGAAATTAATTTAATTCATTAACATTAATTTTACATTTATAAGCTAAAATTCCAAGAATTATGAACAAAATTTATATAAAATTCACATTTTATATAAATTGAAAGAAATTACATAAAATTGAGGGATTTATACAAAATAAATAAATAAAATAATACGAAATCTCCTCTAGCTCCTTCAAATTCGGAATTCCCCTCTCTCCCCTCATTTCTCCTTCCGAATACTAATCATTTCGATCACCCATTCACTCCACCTATCTCTTTCTCTCTCTAAAAACTTCCTTCTTCATTTCCTCTGCAAATGACGAACCTAGAAGAAATATCGTTGGAAGACATTTTTACATTCAACTCTTTTCTCTCTTTTCTTCTCTCTAAAACCCCCACTCTTTACCTCTATGAATTAGCTCCAAAACCCACGAAATTTCCAGCAAATGTCCCTCATTTTACTCAAGAATATTCATCATTTGAAGTTAATCTTCAAGGTAAAATCAATTTCCTTACATTTTGTTCACTTTTCTTTCAAAAATATCAAGTTTTCTTGCATTTTTCTTCCCCATAAACACCTTTATTTGAGATTATTCACATGCATGTTCATGCATGTCGAATTTGATGATCATAGTGGTAGGATTTCACCAAAAAACAACATGCATGTTGTTAGAAGGTGAAATCCAATGATCAAAACCTAAATCAAATCCATCAACTTGAGTTTTACAAGTTTTAAAGATCCAAAACCACATGCATTCAAGTTTTTCATTTAGAAACATCATATTAAACAAAATAAGTTCATATATGGTCTTCAAATCATAATGCAAGTGATGAACATCAAGCTTAAAGGTTTGATTATCAAAGTACATTGTTAAGAATGCTTATAAATGATTTATTCGTAAATAAATATGTAACACTTCTTTTCTTTTCAAATACGATTTTTCACAGAATCCAAACAACAAAATAAGATGATCTGAAAATTTCCAGAAAATAAATCATTTTTCTCGATTTATTGTAATTTTTGCAAGAAAATAGAGGAATAATTCACATAAAATACTTTTTAAGGTCAATAAATTCTGGTAAATTTCTGATATAACCTATGAGCTGATTAAAGACATTTCATGAAGTTGCATGAATTTCTATGATCGTTTTCTGTCGCTTTCAAATTTATTATTTTTTTTAAGAAAAATATGTTATCAAATACAGTTACGAATGTCCAAAACCATATTTCATAATCTTCACATCTTCTGGACATCATAAAGACTCCATGAAAAATTTTCCAGATTTTTCCAAGACAATTTCTTATTTTTCTCGATTTAATGAATGTTTAAGGGATTGATTTGCTGAAAAATAGCTACACTTATCCAAACACTATTAAACTTCGTCAAAATATCTTATATTAAATAAAAATGATAAATAAAATGTTGAGTGAATTTTACGTAGTGTCTAACAATTTTTCACAAATTAATGCTTATTTAAACGAATAAAACAAAGCAAAATAGTTAAACTGTTTGAAAACCAGCTTTGATATTTTTCCAGCTTATATATGTTAAATAACAGTGGTACAAAATCTTTGGAGAATTTTATAAACTGATTCCTATCTAATTTCATTCTGTTATAATAAATACACAAAAATCATAAAATCGGGTTAAACTGTTTGAAAATCACTTTCAATATTTTTCCCAGTTTATATACATGGTATGACAGTTTTACAAAAAGATTGGGAATTATTATTAACTGTTTATTATGTTTCATAATTTTATGTTGTTTTCAAGGACTTAAATGGTGGAAATTTGTTAAACATACTTAAAAATCATGAAAATTACAACGAACTTGGTTGCTCCTTGTAACAACGAACTTGTTTGTTCCTTGTAGCAACGAACTTGTTTGCTCCTTGTAGCAACGAACTTGATTGTTCATTATAGCAATGAAACTTGTTTACTCATTTTACTAACGGACTTTATTTCCCATGAGAATATGAACGTTGCATCTCATTTGGGCAACATACTTTATCTCTCATGGTGACAACGAACTTTGTTTATGCAAACTTATTTACTCATTTTTGCAATATATTTCTATTTATGGAAACTTCTATCAACCCTTTGATTACAATTCTTGAAACCAATATTATTTTTAACTTGTGAACTCACCAACTATTTTTATAGTTGACGCTCGTTTTACATGCTTTTTCAGGAATCGCCTAGTAAGAGGCACGCAGATACACAACACTTGTAGGAGCATTTGCATATGTTGTCTTTCAAATACATTGTAATTTATTTTAAAACATTGTTCAAATTTATTGTAAATTGTAATACTTATTAATACTATGGTTGGTGTTGTCTTTTAACTTTTGCTATGTGACCCGTTGTACTGTCGCGTCCTATGTTTCCACTTTAGCGGGGTTTGATAGAAATGGTATTAGACCCGAATGTTATAGAGAATACTGCTTTTCCTTTGGAGAACCACAACTATAGCCAAAAATTTCAAAACGTTTTAAAATACTAAACATACTACTGGTATAACTCATTCGAGTACGCATTATTATACTTTAATTAAGTATAGCCTGGCCAATTATGCTTAATTAAGGAAAATTAATGCAAGGCTGGAAACGGTTGTAGTAGAATTATGTTCAAAACGATTTTCAACTTAAACTTTTGAAAAACAAAATTTTTCGGTGTGCGTATGGGCATTGCATATTATAGGCATTCATCTAGGTACACTTAAAAATTAAGTGCAATTTTATCACAATGTCTTTATTTAGAAATATTCTTATACTTATCAACTGCTAGGCTAACCAGTTAGGTTATATCACTAACCACTTTAGGAGCAATCTACTTAGCACTAAGAATGAGTATTCCTCGGTAGCTATTGACTTTAGACGTAAGCTTAGCAGCTAGATAGCCACTAGTAATAATCCTATGTCGAAACCAATACCAATTATACATTATTACCTTTTCATCGTCTTCGTACTAGAGTCACAACTAGGAAAAGCTTTATGATACCGACACGGATGAGAATTGGAGCATCGCGTTAGAAGTTAGACGAGTCGCCACGAGTAGTCACTTGGATACCATTGGCAGCCATCCTTAATATGACTCACGAGGAGGCACGGAAGTTCAGGCCATTGCTACCAATACATGAGACTTCTCTGCTACGCTACAAATCTAGCTCTAGGTTGTTTCCATCTTGAGCTTAAAATTTAACAAAGGATATCTCTTTGACCCAAAACCTTATCTTTGGTGATTTTTACCCAACCATCTTTACTTTGTATTAAAGCAAAAACCATCCCCTTTATGGCAAAATTTTACTAGTCTTCGTTCAAGACCCCCTTGATACACTAGTCATCATCTCGAGTATACAACCATCTTACACTTTCCAAATTACTAACATGTTTCATGCCCAACCTTTAACCTTAAATTTTCATGCCCAATCAAACATCGCACTACTTCCTTGTACGAATCCTTCCTACAAACTTCTAATATTCCTTCGAACCTTATTATTTTCATACATTTGTTTGAGCCTTAGCGACATTACTAACATTTCTATCGTTAAAAGGGATTACATACCTAAGCCAGCTCTTTAGACTAAGGCATATCAAAAAATGGGGTTCGATAGAGGGAGTCTTTGCTGTTTACTGTTTACTTTACCTTTACCCAGCTTAAAGAACTGTGCCATAAATTCATAAGAACTGCTATTTGTAGAGCTTCTATAGCTTCGAGCCCTTTAGTTCGTTATCAAGCAGCTTAGAGGGTGATCGCTGGCCACAAACTTGCAAGAGTCAGCTATTTGTTCACATTCAAGCATTCGTTCCCCACGTTCGAGCTAGTCGAATCAGTACTTATTGTTATACCGTTCGTGCCCCTCAGAGCCACTTAACTCGCCTCACGTCACTTCGCTCGCCTTGGGAGGAAGGCTACTGACGGTAGCGAATCTCAGAATACGAAGAAGATCAGAAAGGCCATCATAAGAGCAAACAAGGCAATGGCTTCCGTGAGAGCAAAGCCTAAAATGGCATAACCAAACAATTTAGTATCCAATTCCGGACTCCGTGCTACTGAATGGATCAACGAACTGAATATCTTTCCAATTCCGACTGCTGCTCCAGCTAAAGCAATTGTAGCAGTTCCAGCACCGATTTGAAACCCTCCATAACATCTTTCAAAGTTTTCATTTCAGTCTATTAATTGGAAGCAGTATTTTTCTTCTTATCCGAACATTCGCTAGCTGGCAACACAACTTTGACCACCCAAAAAAAGATCTCAAGTGATTAGGCGGGGACAGGATTCGAACCTGTAGTCTTCAGATCATGAGCCTGATGAGTTGACCATTCCTCCACCCCGCTTGATGAATTCCCATTCAAAAAAGGTCAATTAGCTAAGATCGATCAGAAGGTGTGTTAAGCATATAGTCATTGTGGTTACAGACGGGTTCAGTTTGCGATTAGACTAAGAACCTTCTCCGTCTAAGCAGGTTAGGGGAAGAGAAGCAAGCTAGCCCCGCCTACCTCCCATCTATATCTATAGGCGGCAATGGTAAGAGCTGGTAAGCATGGCACCGGCACTCAGCCCTTCCCCCTTACTCCAAGAGCCGAAACAGCCTCTATTCCTTCAAACACGTGTAATTGAGAGAGTCAGAATATCAGTGCCTTCGCTTACCTGTTTAACCGTGCCCTCCTATCACACCTATCTCCCTTTTCCTTCCCTCCGGGCTCTCCTCTGACCACGAGTGGCGTACTCCGGTATGAACCCGTCTTGACCGCAATTGCAGGAATAGGTTGACTTTCTTTCAT